AACACAGGTTCTTCCCTGCCAGTCCAGGGTTGCCAGATTTAGCAATTATAAATACATGACAATCAAATTTGTATTTCAGATAAATAACAAATAACTTTTAAGTATAAATATGTCCCATTAAACAATGAATGGTTTCTTTTCGTATAATTATGTCCCAAATATTGCATGGGACATAGTTATACTAAAAAAAATATTCAGTGTTTATCTGAAATTCAAGTTTAACTGGGCATTCTGTGTTTTATTTGGCAACCCTATATAAGTCAGACCCCTACAAAATTGCCAAGGATTTCTAGGAACGCCCCTGTTTGTCAGATGTATGTACTGAGCAGCAGACACTACTATAGCTTTAGCCAAGATCGCCATCACTAATGTATTAAGTATCACTTAATACATTAGAAGGAAGGGGACCTGTCATTAGGGGGAATGTGACTGAAGGCACCGGATTAGCTTTGAAGCTGATAACCTCCACTGCAGTTCCAAGAATAAGGATAGCAGAGCCTCATGGATAGGAAACAAGGGGTTTTGATCTTGACTGAACTTTCGAGCCTGACAGAAAGCAGCTACATAGATGATATCCTTGAAATATCCCCTGGTTAGCATAGGCTAAAAAAGATATTTTAGTAACTTCTCAGAAATACCTATTCTGCTTTGAGATGCCAAGACATGCAGAAATATTGCTTTGAGATGCCAAATAGAGTATTGTGGGAAGTCACCAGACTGGAAAACAGACCTGGGGATGATGTTTTGTTCTTATGAGACCCACATTTATGTTTACAACACATTTATGAATGAAAATTAAACAGATAATGAAGTTAAGAAACATATGATTCTAGTTTGTTTTTTTTTTTTCCTACGGGTCACTGAGGCCTTTTTATTCTGCACACAAAACCACTCGGGATTTCGCCTGTGGACACCTCAAGATTATAAAGTAGACAGACGTGACTCCAGACACTGGGTGGAAGTGAGGTGAGAAAACAATGACTTGGGCCAATCACACGATTACAGAGTTAGGGTTTCCAGCAGGGTTCCAGATGGTCAAGTTTGGCTTCTGCAGCAGTTCTAAGGAAGCAGTGAGAACATCACAGGTAGGGGAGAGGGCAGTTAACTAGCAGGGTCCCCGGCCAGTTTCGGCTGGGGCCCTCGAGCTGCCCAGGGCGGGGGCGGGCAGAGGTCTAATGAGCCAACTCAGGACCGCAGGACTCGGGGTGCGCCGCCTGGAGCTTACTTGGCCAGGGGGTTTCTGAAGTTTCTGCCAGCGAACTTAGCCTTGCTACCCAGTTCCTCTTCAATTCTGAGGATCTGGTTGTACTTGGCCAAGCGCTCAGATCGGCAAGGTGCCCCTGTCTTGATCTGCCCAGAGCAAAGTCCCACCACCAGGTCAGCGATGAAGGTATCTTCAGTCTCCCCAGAGCGATGCGACACCATGACGCCCCAGCCATTGGACTGGGCCAGCTTGCACGCCTGGAGAGACTCGGTCATGGAGCTGATCTGGTTAACTTTCAGCAGGAGGCAGTTGCACGATTTCTCGCCCACAGCCTTGGAGATCCGTTTCGGGTTGGTCACGGTGAGATCATCCCCCACCACCTGGATGCCGGCGGTGGCAGTGAACTTCTGCCAAGCTTCCCAGTCATCCTGGTCAAAGGGGTCCTCGATAGACACCACTGGGTAGTCCTTGATGAAGGACTTGTACAGGTTGGCCAGCTCATCAGGCGTGATGTACCTGCTCGGGTCATCGGGGCCCTTGAAGTCCAGGTCATACTTGCCCGACCTGAAGAACTCAGAAGCAGCTACATCCATGCCGATGACCACCTTGTCAGTGTAGCTGGCTTTCCCAATGGCGTTCTACAGCAGCTCCAGAGCTTCTTTGTTCTCCAGGATGTTAGGCGCAAAGGCGCCTTCATCCCCCACATTGGTGGCATCTTTTCTGTATTTCTCCTTGATGACATTCTTCAGGTTGTGGTAAACCTCGGCTCCGATGCGCATGGCTTCCCTGAAGTTGGCTGCACCAACGGGCAGGATCATGAACTCCTACATGGCCAGCTTGTTGCCAGCATGAGAATCACCGTTGACGACGTTGAAAGCCGGAACCGGCAGGATGACTTCAGCATTGCCAGCCAAGTCAGCAATGTGCCGGTACAGGGGCACCCCCTTTTCCATGGCCCCTGCCTTGCAGACAGCCAGGGACACACCCAGGATGGCGTTTGCACCAAATTTAGATTTATTTTCTGTCCCATCCATCTCGATCATCAGTCTATCAATCTTCTCCTGCTCCATGACGTTCAGTTTCTTGCTAATCAGGGCAGGTGCAATAGTTTTATTGATGTGCTCAACAGCCTTTGAGACACCTTTCCCCATGTAGCGGGTCTTGTCATTGTCCCGGAGCTCGAGGGTCTCATAGATACCAGTTGAGGCACCACTGGGCACAGCAGCTCTGAAGTGACCTTTAGAGGTGTAGAGGTCAACTTCAACGGTGGGATTCCCACGAGAGTCAAAGATCTCTTTGGTGTGGATCTTGAGAATAGACATGGTGACTTTCTGGCTGCCGGATAGTGCTGCCCGGGGAAGAAGTAGAGGATGCTGCAGGCACGGAGGATGAGCGTTAAGCCGCCTGATTCTAGTTTTTTTTTTTTTTTTTTTAAAAACCTGCTAGCTACATTTATATTATGCAAGAATAAAGGGAATGGTCACTGAGAATAAAACATTTGAGTATTTATCTGTAACAATATTTTATGGGGCACTTAATGTTTGTAATATTAATAAACCACCTTGTACGTCTCAATTTAATTTAAATGATGTGATGATTTGATCATTCTTGTGGAATAATGCCTCATAAAAAATGCTATAGAATAAAGAAATGTTATAGAAATCCTGTAAATACTTGTAAAGCTGCTATTGCCATTGTACCAGTATTAAAACGTGTTCTACTTTGCATCTTTTACTAATTTTTATAACAGGTTTTATATTGTTTCCATTTGAGAATCCTGTAAATGCTATGGCTTCATTAAACTGTTGCTAATCATATAAAAAAATGGTTCAGCCACTGTAGAAAACAGTATGGTGGTTTTCAAAAAATTAAAAATAGAAGTACCATATGACCCAGCAATCCCACTTCTGGATACATACCCCAAAAAACTGAAAGAAGGGTTTGAAGAGACATTTGCACACTCATGTTCGTTCATAGCAACATTACAATAGCCAAAGGTGAGAAGTCCATCAACAGATCAATGGATAAACAAACTGTGGTACACAATACAATGAAATATTATTCAGCCTTTAAAAAGGAAAGAAATTTTGACAAGTTACAACAGGGATGAGACTTGAGAACATTACACCCAGTGAAATAAGCCAGCCACAAAAAGACGAACACTTAAGTACCTCATGTGGTCAAATTCATAGAGATACAAAATAGAATGGTGGTTGCCAGGGGCCAGGGAAGAGCGGGGGGCGGGAATGATGAATTGTTTACACGGTGGAGTTTCAGTTTTGCAGGATGAAGGAGTTCTGGAGACGATGGTGGTGATGGTTGCACAATATGCTGCGGATGACCCTGAACTGTGTACTTAAAAATGGTTAAGGTGGTAAACTTTGTTTTTTTTTTTTATTTCTTTAAGGTGGTAAACTTTATGTCAGGTGTATTTTAATTTTTAAAAAATTGTAATAAGCAACATGCACACCAAGTGTACTACATTGTACATCAAATTTTAACACACTTTTAAATTTGTTGCCAAGAATTCTTGTGTACACTTCTCATTTCCTCCTAGTGTGTAAAACTCATCATATCCTCTTTGGAGAGTTTCCTGAAATTGCAAGGCCAGCAGTTAAAGACAAAAACAAGACGAAATTTATTATTTCCAACTAAAGCAGAATGTAGCTCGTCCCCCCACACCCCAAATACAGGACTGCCGTTGTCGTTCATTATACTCTACTTAAATAATTATTGCAAATATTACACATTCGGACTTGCAAAATAAATCAATACCAAGGAAACAAGTTTAGTATTCGTATATATTTGGCTTCCTCGTAAGATTTCATTCGTAGACCGTTCAACTGATCAGAATAAGAACGTCCTGACCTAAAGCTAGCCCCAGAGCCCGGCCCCGCCCCTCGGCGGGCCAATCAGACGCGCGCCGGGGAAGGGCGCACAGCTGCCCGCCGAGCGAGTCGATGAGGGCGCGTGAGACGCCCCGCGTCCGCCGAAGCGCTCGAGCGCCCAGCCAGGCGGCTCGCCATCTTTTTCAGCTGGCCGGGAGGTGTCTGTCTTTCCCAGACGCAGGCTGGCGACTGGGCCGTGAGTCGGCGCGATCGGGTATCTGTGCGGCGGCGGGCGGCCTGGGCAGGCGGTGGGCGCGGGGGAGGCCGCGGACGCTGCCCGGGGCGGGGGCCGCGCTGTCCGGGGCTTCGGGAGGCTTCGCGGCGCTGCGGGTGCCAGGATGAGCGGGCGACTGGCCACCTTATCTTCGGGTGCAGCGCGGCTGCTGTCGCGTTACACGGTTCAAAGAGCGGCCTAGGGAGAGGGACAAGCTAGTGCAAAGCCAGATCCGAGCGAACGCTGCATTTTTGTGGGCTTTAGTTATCTCGGAAAACTTTACGCAGAATGTGAGCAAACGGCGTCAGCGGAATAGCTCGGATTTGGTTGGAGTGAATTGTTTTGAAACTCCAAATCTGATTTGAATGTAAAAAAGTTAGAGATTCAGGTTTATGAGTGGGTGGTGAAAAACAATTCATATTTTCTCCGTGGCAGTGGTTGTGAAAGTGTGGTCCCCAGATTAGCGTCATCCTCCTCATCTGGGAAGTTGTTAGCGGTGCCCATTCTCAAGTTTGAGAGCCCCGGCTCCAGCCAACTACACATAGGCGAACGGACCAGATTGCAAACTCCTGACTTTTGTGCCATGCACCTTCGAGGTTAATAGAGAATTTGACTCGTTAGTCTTGTCTTTCTCATATACGTGTAATTCATCGAAATCAGATACTTCTTTTTCTGTGCCGATTTCCACTCAACTGGGACTTTCCCTGGAGATCTCAGTCTTTCTTGGTAGCTCTCCACTCAGTTTACTTGTTTTCCTAATCTGTAAAATGAAGATAACCGTACTACTACCAAGAGTTTTTGGAGAATTGAATGAATGAATGAATGTATGTAACAGTTTTTGGCACATAGTAATCAAACACTGCTATTATATATAATTTTGATACTAGTGTCAAAGCCTGAAGCAGATGAGGAAGGTGATTAAAAAGAACTAGAGGAGAGAGCTTATTAGTAACGGCCAAGTAGTAGAATCACAGGTGCCCCCGTTAAACTAAACCAACACAGGATGGTTACTTATCCTAAACACTCTGCTGCTCAGAGTGTGGCCTGTGGGTCAACATCTCTGCCATCACCAGGAGCTGTTAGAAATGCAGAATCTCAGGCCCACTTCGGACTTAGTCAGAAGCTGTTTTTAACAAGATCCCGGGCAGGTTTAGATGCAGTTTTACTTGGAGGAAGTGTGAGATCAGCTGTCTTAAAATTTCTCCAGGAGTTCCAGCCTTCAGTCAGTGACCAAGGGGATTGGGCAGGAGGACTTAAATTTGAGGCTGGTTCCACTTCTGCCTCACCTGGTCTTCCGTTGTTTCTTCAGTTCCTAGTCCTGGATAAGTTCTGCATCTGCTGATCATTATTGGAGAAAGTAACGTAGCTTAATAACATGACTGTGGGAGTCATAGTCAAAACTCAGGTGCTTGAAGAGTTTTTGATTCATCTCCCTTTGTCTAATGCTCCCTATAGAGCTGTTTTCCAGATCTCCATTCCCTAGCCCAGCTTCCTGACACACAGTGCCGCTCCTGGCTTTCCAGTGGACCATTTCACAGTCTTCTTTTTTTTTTTTTTTAAAGATTTTTTATTTATTTGAGAGAGAGAGAGAATGAGAGATAGCACGAGAGGGAAGAGGGTCAGAGGGAGAAGCAGACTCCCCGCTGAGCAGGGAGCCTGATGTGGGACTCGATCCCGGAACTCCAGGATCATGACCTGAGCCGAAGGCAGTCGCTTAACCAACTGAGCCACCCAGGCGCCCCACAGTCTTCTTGATATTGGGTAGTAAAGTGAACTCTGTCAGCTTCTCTTCGTTTTGCTTTAGAACCTTTCTTTCCACCTCTCATTCATTTCTGTTTTGAAGGAGTGTAAAACCTTGTTGCCTCTGAAAAGCCTTTTCTGTAGCCTTGATTTCATACGCTGCCATCTTCTCAGAGCTTCTGCTCAGTTCAGAGACTCCCTTTATCAACTTAGTTCTTCAGTGCTTAGAATTAGGCTTCTCCCTGTCAACGGCCTAAGCAATCCAGTGGCTTTATTTTTTTTCCCCAGACTTAATTTTTTTCAGCTTCTCTAAAGTATTTTATATAGTTGACTAATGCCTCTTTCAAATTAAGCACCTCTTGGTTTCTACACATTGCATTTTTTAGCTTGTGTTCTGCTCTCGATAGTCTTCACTGCCTTCTCTTGTGTTTGGGTCTTCTCGAGGCTTTATTCCTTAGTTGAACTCTTTCCCCACCCCACCCGCCCCCCCAAAGTATACGGTCATCCAGTATTTATGTCTCTAGAGCGCGACAGGGATCCTAGGATACTTTTCCCACCATTATTGTTACATAGCATTTTGGTTTTTACATTTTTAAACATAAAAAGTTGTGGGGTTTGGGGTTTTTTTACTATCAGTAGTTGACTTCACTTGTCAATATATTTAACCTATTCCTTTGCTCATCATTGTTTCTTTTACTCACACCTTTTATTATTGATGTTAAGTTTCTTTAATATGTCAAGAGTCTATGGGTTGGAGACTTTCTTAGTCTTTTTACGTCTGAAGAAATCTGTATTAGTTTGCTAAGGCTGCCATAACAAAATACCACACACTGATGTCTTAAACAACAGAATTTTTTTTTTTTTTTTTTTTTTGGAGGGAAAAGATCCTGGAGGCTGGAAATCCAATATCAAGGTGTCAGCAGGGTTGATTTCTTCCGAGGCCTCTCTCAGCTTGTAGATGGCCGCCTTCCCCCTGTGTCTTCACATCAACTTTTCTCTGACCTGTGTCCAGATTTCTTCTTATAAGGACAGCAGTCATATTGGATTAGGGCCCATGCTAATGACCTCATTATAGCTTAATTACCTCTTTACAGACACTATCTCCAAATAGTCATATTCTGGGGAACTGGGGTATAGAACTCCAACGTAAGAATTTTGGAGGAATACATTTCAGACCATAACAATATCTCAATTAGTTTTTCCCATTGAAAAAAAAACCTTTTGTAAAATGTGAAATATAACATATATACAGAAAAATGTATAAAATATAAGTGTTCATCTTAGCAAATTATTTAAAAAGCATACACCCATGTGCCTACCTTCTAGATTAAGAAATAGAATACTGTCAGTATCCCAGAAATCTTCCAGAGCTTTTTCCCTCATCTCATTCTTGATCTCAGAGGGAAAGATTTCAAGTATAGTGTTTGCCTGTAGTACTCTATCTGGCAAAGTTTTCTTTTATTCCTGGTTTGGTAAGTGTTTTAGTCATGAATAATTTATCCTGTTTCATTCTTAATTTGGGGGGCCTTCTCTTTATCTTTTTTTTTCTCTTTTTCTTAATTTTACTAGGTGTTTATCAATTTTTTTAGTCATTTCAAAGAATTAACTTTTGGTTTTATCTTCTCTATTACAAGTTTGTGTCCTAATTTATTATATTTTATTCCTGTTTGTTTGTTTATTTATTTATTTATTTTAAAAAGATTTTATTTATTTATTTGACAAAGAGAGAGCAAGAGGGAACACAAGCAGGGGGGGTGAGAGAGGGAGAAGCAGGCTTCCCGCTGATCAGGGAGCCCGATGTGGGGTCAATCCCAGGACCTTGGGATCATGACCTGAGCCAAAGGCAGACGCTTAACGACTGAACCACCCAGGTGCCCCCCCC